AAGATCCATAATCAAATACATGGAAACAAATTTAAAAAGTAAAAATAAAATGTTGGACCTACATTTAAAAACACACACAAAAAGTAGTACATTTTAAATCACAATTTTTTTTTATTAAATACCAAATAAATAATTCTTTACATTTAAACATTAATAACAGTCAATCTATGAACTTAGCCTTACGGAATTACGCTTCTGAAATTTAAGCTATGTTGTTGCAGCGCTGTGGTCTTGCAGCATCACGAAGCGGAACTGTCGGTTTCAGGGTGTATTTTCCGTGGGACCGCAGAGCCGATCATGGCGACTCTCGGCGGCAGTCGTGGGGATCGTCTCGGCAATTCTAATCACAACAAGTCTGCTATTGTTTCCCCGGAAAAAGTTCGTGAAATTCTCAATGAGGGGGTGTCGTCAACAGGCGTGGGTTCCAACAGGTGCGATTTTTTTTTAATCAGAGAGCGCTCATGGTTCAATTTAAAAAGACGGAGAACAAGTTGACGCTAGCTAGTTTGCCTAGCCACTTAGCTTGGTAGCTGTACTTTTAGCTTCATTCAGTCAGCATAACGAGAAGACAGACGAGATTCCGCAGGTTTGGATGCATGTAAGCTAGGAACAGCAGTATGAACTGGCACGCCTTTGTGCTTTCATTGTTGTATTCATCGGGCAAGTTTATTATGGTAGCATCTGATTTGTCGCCACTGTGTACAGTTAGAGATAAGAGGGGGTGGGGACCTTAAGTTTGGTAGTAACTCCCTACTTTGCAAGTTTTCTGTTTTGCTTCCATCATTAGGTTAAACGAATCGATTCTATTCAGTAGTGTGCGATTATAAAATGAAAATAGGAAACATATAACGTGAAGTACGCATAGCTTTAACCAGTTATATTTGTTTTATCAATCATGTAAATAAAACTGCATACTGAAGATGTGTTTTCCCCTTTTTGATGATTTCAGTGTACAAGGGGATTTGAATGTGGTGGAAGTGAAAAGCAACTCTCAAGCACCTTGCGAAGCAACGAACAAAGAAGCCTTTTTCTCAAGAGTGGAATCCTATTCAATATCCTTTTTCCCCTCATTTTGAATCAGTACGAGCCATCTTAGTTCTTGTTTTTATGTTGTTATGTTGTTATTATTACATGTCCTTGCTGTATGTAAGTTGAAGTTTCCCTTAGCGCCGCACTGTTTGAAATGGGCAGGCAAACCACGCATACTTTCCCCTTTGATGTGTGCCAGATATGGCTGGATCAGTGTTGGCTGTGATATGCTCAAGTGCTGCAGCTGCCAGGCTTTCCTATGTGCATCCTTGCAGCCAACTTTAGACTTTGAAAAATGTGAGTGAAACTTAAAGCAACTGCACAATAACAACACTAGAGGACAAACAGTTTGTTTTGTTTTTTTGGCAAGGTTAGGTTGATATTGTCGGGCTGCCAAATTTTTAAAAAAAAATTAAAGCACATCTCCTCTTTTAAACAGATGAAAGCCGCATTGCAGAGATATCAAGGCAGCTTCAGACACAGCATGAAAAGTTTTGTCCTTGGCCTGACTTTCCATGTCCAGGTGGGAGCAAGCATTTTGCATAAAACGTATATATCAGCAAAAGTAATTTGCCTTGAATGAACTTTGATTTTCTTTTTTGTCCATGTAATGATCAGGGTAAATGTTCCTTTTATTTCAGAGCGCTTCTGGCTTGTTCCAGCCTGTGAACCATCGACACTTCTTGCTGCCTTTTTGGAGCGCTTCCAGAGCGCCTGTCTCCTTGCACAGCAGCTGCCAGCAATGAAACCGGAGCAGCTGAAGTCTATGGTGAAGCTGCAGAAGGGCTTCAGCCTTTTTAGGATACTGACTCCAGTGCTGTTTAAAGCATTATGCATATTATTTACATTAGAGAATACACTTAAAAGAATGCATTATTGAGATTATAGAAACAGTTGTCTGAGTCACTCGTTCACCTATACTTATTGGCCACTCTTTCTTTGCAGTCTTTGACAGAGGACGTTATCAGCAGTATGCTGCAGGTGATTGAGGAAGAACAAAAAAGAAAGGGAGAGACTCCTTGCTCTGAGCCTTTGGCTATCCAGATGGCAGCATGTATTGTTTCTCTCTGCGGTTGGGCAGCAAGGTGAGATGTAACTCGAAACTCCTTTCATAGAAATCAGTGTTGTCATATGCTGACATTAAAAGTTGCGTGAAAATTTAGAAACATGGGACAAAAAAGTGTTTTTCTCCATCTTAGTCCTGCTCTGCACGCCATGAGCCTGCCGATCCTCACCTGCTCCTACTGTATGCGCAAGGTGGGCTTGTGGAATTTCCATCAGATGGAGGGAATGGGAGGTGAAGCAGACAATTCAACAAATACACTGGGCACCCCTGTACGGGCAGCCAGTCCTGCTTCAGCAACCCCAAATGATGGTCAGGGAGAGCATTTGACTTCCACCTCACCGAGCCCTGCTACAACTCCTTGTCGCATGAAGCTGCGGAGCCAGGACTCCACCCGCTCTGACCATGTAAGGAGGAGGACCAGGCGGATTTCCCGAGCTGTGCCACTAGCTGGAAAAACACTAAACCACGCTGTGCACAAGCTATGATGCAAGCTTATTAATCAATTCAATTAGAACAAGTGAATGTAAACTTCAGAATATACTAAGCTGCTTCTATGCTGTCTTGGTGTATGTTACAGGGAGAGGGTACCTCCTCCCCAGTGGCCTTGCGTGCCCGGAGCAGAGACTCACCTAGCCCCAGCGAAGAACTGCCAAGCCCTTTGACGAGGGGCAAGAGGCCCGCAACTCGCAGTAGAGGACAGGGAGATGGCTCAGGGACTGACGGCACTGCTAGCCTGCCTCCAAAGCGCCTGTGCCTCTCATCAGCTGGTGGTCTAGTAAGAACTAACATTACTGAGGTTTTTTGTTTGTTTTTGTTTTGTGTTTTTTTTAAATGATGGCATCAGACTTTATCTGAGGGAATCCGTACAGTCCTGCCTGGTTATTCAGCCAGTGTTTCAAGAGTAATTTGAGTATTTTGTTTGGTTTACATTACAGTTAGAAATGTTGTTAAACTAAAAACATGAAAGACAAACATTCCCTTTTTTAAGGCAGAGGTGTATAATACAAATGTTGACTTACTATCTCTTATTTCAGGATGGGCCCTTGCCCAAGAATGTATTTGACCCCTTAGCTCAGCACAGGGAATGGTGTCCCTGGATCTCCGTAGGAAAGGAGAATGTGGATCCTGGGGCTATCCCTTTTTCAGAAAAAGGTTCAGGACTTTATCAGCAGGGCTGGAAAGCTGCTCTGGACCTCCTCATGCCCATGAAGAACTCCAGTATAGACGAAGGCAGTCCAGCACAGGCAAGACAAAAAGTTCAAATATTTATATTTCATAAAAAAAGAGTCATCAGACATGCATATGATAGATTTATACAGATTTACAGATTTTTGCTTTGTTTGTTTGTTTGTTTTTTCTTCCAGGGCCCCCGTGACAAATCTAAAAGGGTGTTTGCTATATTCCGACAGTGGCAGGTTTCCTCTTCGCCATCTCAGTAGACTCTTTGCAAACAAAAACAGCATCGCAACACTGAAGTGATGAACTGACCTCCACTCTTGTTTGTGGTGCAGAATCCATATTACGAATGACAGGAGTGTCAAGTGTTATTAAATGTAAGCCATCAATTGAGGTCTTGTTTCTGTTCAGTGTTTGTCAAGGACAAATAAGGTTCATTGTGTCATTAGACAAATGAATGTGTTCTCAGTAAACAGTAAAAAAATGTGAATGAATGAATGCTGTGGCTTTTTAAAAAAAACATTTCAGTTCGGCTACACAAGATTTGGGATGTGTACCGCCATCCACATGACCACAAAGTCTGCTTTGGTAGTCCTTGATGACAACATGATGGTCTGGATTTTTGTGGAATATAGAAGATCATGAGAAAGGGCCACATGGCTCTACACTGGAAAGATAATGTTTACCTTTACCGTATTTTGAGTTCTTTGCAAGAGCAGTAAACATTAACCTCAGATTAGCAACAAAAAAAAAAAAAAAAAGACTGTGAGGAAGTACTTATGTGTGTATTGTTTTGCTTAAACACCAGATGGATACAATAGCTGTCCTCAAAGAGAGCAGAATCTTTTTGGAGTAGTGATGTTTTGTTTTTTCTCATCCGTGCTACCCGGTTTGAAATTCGTGATTTTCTGTGATATTTCATTACCGATGCAGTTCTCACTCTCTTGCATGTACCTTTGTCTTTGTAGACGCTCCTAAAAGGGTTTAATAAATTGCTCTTCTGAATGTTTGTTTTACTTTGCATGTCGTTCTTCTGAGATTTTTAAGATAAGGCCAGTCAAAAAATTAATGAAATTATATTGTAAATCCAAGAAAAATGCACACAGTACAGATGTCAGATGGCTCTGCTTCACAAAGATTTTTTTGGAATGTGTTTTTTAAAGTTTATTTTAATTTTATTTGCTGAAGTGTGTTTATGTGCATGAGTGTATTTATGTATAGATAGATAGATGAATAGGTATTGTGGCCTTGTAGAAGTGGTATTTTTAGCCATGACCATTTTCTTTATTCTTTCCCTAGATTAAGTCTTGTTTGTATTCTATAAATAAGATATTAGGTATATTTCAGCTTCGCATAACTCTGGGGGAACTTAGTCAGTTAACGGAAATGAATCACAAGACTGATGCCCCCCTCCCCCCAAAAACATTCACTGTTCTTGAAATGGACTGTCAGTCTTGCCAGACATTTTGGGGTGCAAGTCCTGACAGCCAACATGTGGGGGTGACAATCTGGTGGAGCTGAGCCACTGCTCGCGCAATTAGGATATCCTGAACATCTTGAAATATTTTTTTTTCCAATATATCAGTTTTTAACTGTAAAAACAGGCATGTACGTGTTTCTAAATGAAACTTAAATATTAAAAACAATGTTTTGGATAAAACTACAAAGATGGCCATTTATGGTGACGTTTGGGTCGCGCATAATATGACGTCATTCGCGGAGGGATCCCTGTGTCGGAACCATGGTCATATCGTTGAGAGGCAGTGAACGGCAGAGGTCTAGAGACAGCTCAGCTACTCATTAGGGCAGAGATACGTTGAAGTGGGAAGACGTCTCGCTGCGAGCATTTCTGGAGGCAAATGTTAACTTTCGGATAGTACCGTTTGCTAGACTATCTAGCGTTCCGGGGGGCTAGCTTTCAGCTTTCTCACGGGTGTTCTGCGGTGGAAGAAGCAAAAATGTCGTCTCCAAGTCCGGGTAAAAGGCGAATGGATACCGATGTGGTGAAACTGTATCCTTTCTGAACATAAACAACAGTCTCTCAATCGCTGTCTGGTCAGCTATGTGCTGAACAGTTTGTCAACGTTATATGAGTGAACTCTATTTATTGGTGCTGCTTGTTTTTCTTGAAACCCCCCTCAAGCAGAAAATGCTTTCACAGTGAATGACTGGTGTTTTGTGTAAACAACATTTTGCTAGCAAAGCCAAGTGTTAGCTATTTCTGTCCTGCGAACCTTCAGTCGCTTATCGGGACAGCTGTATTAGCTAATCAGATCGGTCACAGGTCCTTCCGGCATTTTTTTTTCATAGCAATATTATTTCTTTGTAACTAACATTAGCTGTCTACAGCTTGCTCTCCAGCTCTGAAAATTACTGCAATATCCGCACAGACGCCGACGTTTTTCTCCTTATACAGAAATGTTTTGCTACACCACCAACAGATGTAGCAGAGGTAGACTACCTAAAACACCTTGTGGCAATTTGGTTTCTTTGTTCACTCCTCTGTTTTATGACGGGAATCAAACTCAAACTGCCCCTTTTACACGCTTACACAGAACCTTGTTTACATAACGTAAGCCCAACTGAAAACGCTGCTGCTTTTGTTCTAGTCGCAAGACGTTGGCGTTATTGCTGCGTGTATAGCGATCTGGGTCTACCTAGCTTTGCTTTGTAACCCCACTAAGGGTTTGGTATGTGTGTTATTGCATCTACCACTTGACAAGAAGACCTGCAACGAGCGTTGTTGAACTGGCGTGCTAGTCAGTTGGTTAATTTCAGCATCAAAATGGCCACCTGATCAGTGTCTCTCACTGTACTTCAGTGTCAACAGGCAAAGGCATGCAGTACTAACTTGTCTCATTTTCGATGGGTGTTAACGTGTAGTTTTGGACATACTGGATCTGGAACTGAGTGTGGCAGCTGTTACGTGGTACAGCAGGTGTCAAGTCCCCTACAGTCATTTTCACTGTGGAATGTTTGAACTTTTTGGCAGCATCTAGTGTGTTCTGCTTTTCAAGTCGTCGTCACCATGTTTACTCTTTCACCGCTGCTTCATTTGTTTAGCTTCACTCAGGGATGACAGAAGCAGTTATAAAAGTGAATCATAACGTCAGATTTCCAGTCCATGCAATGTTCCAGAAGGAACAGTATGAACAAGTAGTTTTGTTTTTGTCCCAACACAGTGGAAGCCAGCTTAATGATTGGGTAGCCTGTTACTAGCCGGAAACCACATGAGGGAGGGACTTAGAACAGCTGATGGGATGGCAGTAAAAGCTTTGCAAATATGGGGTTAGAAGTGGGCTGGTCAGAATTAAACCAACAACAAGGGGAAGTTACCCCAACAGCTTCAAACTAATAGTTTTTTAAATGAAAATATTGACAGTGTGTTGTTTGTTTTGTTTTGTTTTTCAAGCTTGGGCTTAATTGAGTTATTTCTGCTTGTAGACCAATAATATATAACTCTTTGAATACTATTTATAGCATTTTTTTTTTTTTACTGCAGTAAGAGATTGGTGATTGATGATTATATAAAGTTTATTCTTCCCCCGCTCAACACTATTTATGTGTAAGGTGTAGCAACTGTGACAGGGTGCTGAAACGGACAGAACAAGAGTTGTAAGGGTTGTAGTGTGGACACCCACACACAAAGCATTGGAGTGTAGTAAAACCCCTCTCCTTCTTGAGCTACTTCACTGACAGGCAAGAGCAGGTTTGCTAAATACCACCTGCTCAGTTTTGTACAGTGACCTGTGTGTTTAAACATACCATCCAAGACTAGTGGTCAGCAAGTGTTAAGAATGACAGCTACGTGTGTTTTAAATGTAGATCTTAAAGAGTTGGATTTGATCTTGAGCGGGCAGGTCTCCAGATTCTAGAAGGCCCTTCTTCTAAACTATCAATAAGAACCTGTTTCTGTGCTTGCTATCAATGCATCTCCCCCTAGTGTAACCAAAACCTGAAACTCACACTGGCTTTTAGACAGAGGCAGGTTCTGAGAGGCCTTGTGCATTAATTTGCTTTGGCCACCGGAGAGCTGTGAATCTAGAACGGAGGCCGTGCGGGAATTCGTGAAAATGAATGTCAGAATGACCTTAACATGAAGCACCACTCAGTTAAGCTTTGTCCCAAGCCAGCCAATACTCTGCAGCCTGCTTTTATATGCTAGTACTCACTACTCTTTGTACAATTCTGTGAAATAGTCATAGAGAAGACATTAAGCCTTAGTGTACACTGACTTTCCACTGTAATACATCTTCCTGCTAGTTCGTTCCCTCCTATACAATATGAGACAAAATTTATTGACCGCTTCTTGACAGACTGGATTTCTTAAACATTAAATGAACATTAATTTCCTATCATCTGCATAACCTCTTGACATTTGGTATTCTGTCTTGGTCTCAGTTGGGCTGATTTTGATGTCGAACACAATGTTCTTGAAGGAGCTTAGCACAGTGTGTCACTTCTAAGAGCTTTACATTCAGCCTGTTGTGTGGGATTGACTGCACATATTGTGTAGGAAGTTGTGCTGTTATTTGCATATAATTTTTTATTGGTCTTGTTGTTTTACAAAGACTTTCAGGTGGAAAGCTCCTGGAATTTGAGCACAGGTGAATTACATAGCACTAAGCCTATTGTGCATGCTAAAACAGGTCATTTTAACAAGGCTCTTGTTATTGACTTCTCTCGCGTTTGCTTGGCATATAATTGACCAACAATAAGACTTGGACATCTTTATGTGTGACAATTCTAATTTATCTAATGTAATTGTTACAAAATTGGTCTTTCAGTTAACACACTGCAAAATTGTTTATTTAATTAAAAATGGGAAAACCAACAGAGAAGAGTTTTAAAATGTCTCTTCTCTAGGTGCTAAAAATGTAAATAATATGAGATGTAAAGACTTGAGGTGTATATTCTGCTGTAAATAAAATTTCGCTCTATCAGAGGGGATGTTAGGACATCTGATGTCCTCAAAATGACATCCCAGCTGTACTTTTCAACCTTTGAGTTCCTGCTGAAAGGGCTCTCTGGAGCATGGCCACCAGCAATTTTTATTCAAGTCTACTAAGAGTTGCACAGAGGGGTGTCAGAGGCTTTAATCTGCCCCAGTATTCATCATAATACCTGATGTCAACATTAGCATATACCTCCTTTTATATTGAATCAGGTGATAAAGGTGTTGCACATCACACCTCTCAACTTGCAGTTTTCAAGGAGAGCTCACATTTTTAGACTTTTTTTAAATTATTTTTTTAAAAGTAACTTTTTACGCAGCAGTCAACCTTTAGCAATCTGATTTATTCACTTGTCCAGATTCATGGGACATTTTTGATTGTCCTCGCCAGTGTAATAGTGTAAGTGTAATACCAATCCTGAGCTTTATCTCCTCTCTGCTTAGTTTTTTTGGCCCATTGTGCCCATGTAGAATGACATCCGGACAGCATCAGCAGTAGGTTCTTTTGTGTTTCCCATTTAGAGAAGCCCCTGTGACCCACCCCTCCCTCTCTACCTCCTGCTGCTGTGTCAGGCCATGTCGCACAGTCACGGGCAGCTAAACTGCACTCAGTGCTATTATTGCTGGACTGAACTAACTAGATGCAGTTTATTGTAGGGAAGGAGCCAGCAGTTGTATGCTCTTTCCTGACTGATTAAATGGATGGCACAATGAACCCATGAGCAAAATGTGGAATGCCCTGGTCTGATGAGGAAGTTGCATAAGCTACCAGCATGCTTTGTTACTGGGCTGGAATAACTACACAGTAGTTGACACAAAGAAGTTCATAGAAAACTTGCTAACTTCAATTTTATTTTCATTGTGGTTATAAGATAATGTGACATGCTGTAGGTATAAAAAGTGTAAAGCACAGTTGTCCTTTGCCTCAGTTACTCACCATACTATTACCCCCAAAGGCAAAATATCTGAAAGCATACAAAAAAAATCGAATCGAATTTAAAATTCGACTAAATATAAGTCTTGTCAAGATTTTGTGGGTGTTGAACCGCATGCATTATGCTGTCAGTTGACACAGTTTTTATTATCTTTATTTACATTTGGTGCACAACTTTGCTTGTGTCACTGCAGGTGTGTTTAAAACATTTCATCCAACCGAGCTCCTGCTTTTTATCGTTTTTAGGACTTTGTGAATGAATGCAAGGTAACAAAGTCAATTGTGTATGAGGCCCCTACTATTCAGGAGGCGCCACGTTGATTGACAGTCCTGTTTTGGGGGTCCAGGAGCAAGGCATCGCTGACAGTAGGGTGTTTGAGGCCCTCACTGTTAATCCCATAGTGCATACAGCGAAGCTTCCTGCACGCATGGCTGCGTTCCCTTGGAAAAACAGATGGACTGAAGTTCCTCTCTTTGTTTCGCATGATTTTTTTTTTTCCCCTAGCATTTGGGAGTTCAGCCTGGCTCTGTCACTCACATGCAGAGGTGCTTTAGTGTGGAAAATCAAAGGAGTGACAATGGGGTAACTAACTACTTGACTACTAAACTACTTGTTTAAATGTTGCAGTAAAACCACTGCAGCTTTTATTTGCTCGAAATTAGCCTGCATATAAAGTAAAAGGCCCTTATCAAAAAAATGCAACCTATACTTACACACCCTATACTTGCCTCACTGTGCTAATCTGCTGCTGTTCATCTCTCATCTGTGTCAAGTTGATAAAATTAACCCCGCGTGTTTCTCTAACTAAAGCGAATTTCACCATAGCCATTTCCTGAAAATGTCTCTTGATTTTTTTTGTGTTTTTCTCTGTACAATAAGCAGCACATCTTGTTTATTAGATTTTCTCATTAGACTGCTGCTTCAGATCCAGGCCATTGTTTTTCTTGCACTGGCTCAGTTTTGTGTTCATTAATGATCAACTCATTTGTATGTGCATGCACGTAGCTCAAATGCACGTGCGCACACACAGACTCTGTCACTACTGCTGTAAATAGACTGTTGATTTAGCGAAGGGCTGAGAGGAGGAGCAGCTGAAGGATTCACATTTGATTGCAGTGGGTG